GGAGGAGGAGGAGGAGGAGGAGGAGGAGGAGGAGGAGATGGAGGAGGAGATGGAGGAGGAGGAGATGGAGGAGGAGGAGATGGAGGAGGAGATGGAGGAGGAGGAGGAGGAGGAGGACGGGTCGCCTGAGCCCTTCGGAGAAACCCTCCACGCGGCACACAAAAGCGCGGACCTGTGGTAGAAGGACGCGGTGACGTAGGCCTCGGGCTCGGCTGCGCCCTCTCCCCTCTGGGCCTCCTCGGCTTGGCGGTGCGCACAGGGGCGTGGAGGGAGGGGGGAGGGCTTCTTAGGAAGCTGCTATTTAGAGGGCGCAGGCCTTACATCGATAGGTAAAGGTCCGCGCCTTCTGAGAAGCAGGGGTCCTTCTAAGAAGCCCTCCCCCCTCCCCCCCCCCTGCGCATGGCCGAACCTTTGCCGGACAAAAGCCGCAATTCAAATCCAGTAGGCGCACCCAGCTCCAACCGAGTAAGGAATGTCATATTGCCACGCCATGCTCAACAACTCGTTGCATCTTGCCGCGATATGCTGGGCTGGGGACATGCCAGATGCCGCCACGGCCCCAACAATTACCAGACCCCGTGCATGATGCCACAATTCCATGGGAAACGCTGCGAAACCAATGCCGTGCAATGCTAAGCACCGTCATATCTCAAGAGACTTGGCCAATCTCACTCCGCTACCCGCTCTTCCTACTCCCGCCTCCTTTGCTTGCCGATGTGTGCACGATGTCCCGCAATGACTCGGCTGACTCGTAGGATCACGCCCCGCACTACTTCTCGTTTTCGTCACTGCACCGAAGTGTGCACTCTCGCGTCGGTGCATGTCCAGTGCACCCCGTCACCTGTAATCATCAGCTTGAGATAAACTACTTGTTTGCCAGTGCGAGATTGGCCGTACGTTCGGCGTGTAGCGTCGGCCGAGATGTTTTCTTCAACGTCCTGCTCCTACCTTACGATGCGGTCTGGAAATCTTTGATGCTCCACAGTGGCGTGCCACGCTCGCTTAGCCGAACATCGACATTGCGCTTCCACAAAATCGTAAGTGGTGTGCAGCAGGGATCTCTCGGCATGGCCAGCTGCACACTATCATACCGAGGAGGAGGAGGAGGAGGAGGAGGAGGAGGAGGAGGAGGAGGAGAAGGATGAGGAGACGGCGGGACCCCAGGGGGAAGCCTGAACGTAGATGTTGCAATCAGTGGATGTTTGGGATCTCACCTCGACGAGGGTCAATACCAGTCGTTGGGGCCATGTTGGCGTCCCGTGGGGGGTGCATGGTCAAAGCGCCCTCCGTGGCAGACCGTCGCGGAGGTCTCGAGCGAAACGGTCATTCGTGACACTCGGAGTCCCATCCGAGGCTTCTTTGTCGAAGCTGTCTCTAGCGAAACTGCCACTTTTCAAATTCCATACGGTCCTCTCCGAAACCGAGTTGTAGAGGATGTCCTGGGCGGAACGCCAGTTTATGAGATTCAGAGTCCCCTCTGCAACCGATGTGTCAAGGAAGTCCCGAGCGAAACGGCCAATTGAAACCATGGGAACACATGCCACTATATTTTCAACGCTTCCCACGAGAATCGAGCGTGCAGATTTTCCGCAGTTGGACGTCTCCCAGGAGCCTCGAGGCGCGTATCCGTCGCATTCTCACGTGCGCCAGGAGCCTGAGCGCGCAGATCGCCTCTTTTCTTGCGTGCCCAAAGGAGACTCCAGGCTTATCTCGGGCATGCCTTCCTACAGGTTAACCTTGGACGAACAATCAAAAAACAATTCAAAGAACCTGCCAAAAATCGTCAAGCAAACAGCGAACATCGTCCCCAAACTATTTTTGGACCATGTTTGAAACATCACCCTGTAGATCAGGCCCGGCTCCACTCCAGGTGCGGCTGCCCTGCGGAATGCGAAAAGCCGCTCTTGGCATGCCTGTTGCATGCCATCTCCCTCTCCTTGGTCGGCCCAAGAGGGGTCCAACTGAAAGGGGGTGGTGCAATAGATTTGGGACAATTGTATTGCAAACGTATTGCCCCTAAGAATTGTATTACTTTGTATTGCAACGAATGTATTGCACGCGAAAGCCGGGCAAAACATTTGCGCACTGGAATGTACTGCATTCCCCAAATCTATTACAACCCCACAAATCTATTGCACCAAATCTACTGCACCACCCCCTTGTCGCTGGACTCCCTTTTGGGTCAAACCGACTCTCCCCCACCATCCTCCATTTCATCATCTACCCTTCGATGTTACAGTATGGACTCGACCTCAAGGAACCTTCCACAAGAAGCCCAACCCTGAGACCACAAGACGTCCATTGATTTTTTGTAGTGGGAACATCACGCTTTCCATCGCAAAAGCCATCGAAACCCAAGAAACCCAAGGCACCCTGGAGGCAAGCAGGGTGTTTCTTGGCATGGGCCCCAACTGCAGATCACTCGGCGGCGAGCCGGGGCGGGGGGGGAATTGAGAAGGGGCGGGCCTTCTCAGAAGGCTCGGGAGTCCACTGGCCCTCTGAGAAGTGTCCTGAGTCTTCCCCGAAGACAGAACACAATTTTCGGAAGGCGCCAGGGCTTCTGAGAGGTCCCGCCGCCTTCTGAGAAGGCCTTCTTCTCAATTCCCCCCCCTCGCTCGCGTCGACCTCCATGAATACTCCATGTCATCATCTACCCTTGGATTATGTTGCTCCCATCGTACTGAGCACCAAATCCCAGAAGTAATTTCGAGCACCCGGAAAAGTGTCGAAAGAGTGTCGAAAGAGTGTCGAAACAGTGGGCCCGACACGTGAAAAAAACAGTTGAATTTCGGAACTTGTTTGGGCGCTCGAAATTCCTCCTGGTGGTCAAGGCTAAAGTAGGTTGGAACATCATAAATGAGTTCCCCCCTCGCTCGCGTCGACCTCCATCGTCCTCCATGCCATCATCTACCCTTGGATGCCACATTACGGCGAGGGCCCGCAGGAGGCCCGCCGGATCTGAACAAGGCGCTGCGCACCCGGCGCACATGCCTCCGCCTCCCTCCCCGGCGGCCAAACAGCACCGGGGTCATCGCAATCGGGCTCTGAGATGACCCCGATGGGGCTTGAGCTACTTGCGGGCCGGGCGAAAGGGGGGGATAGCAAAGGCGGGGTTTCAGAATCAGCTCGCGTAGCTGATTTTCCCGGCGCCTCCTGGCGCCGGGAGGCGCCCATGTATTGAGCAGTGGGCCCGGCGGCGGGGCCGAAACCAGCTGCATGCAGCAGATTTCGTAACCCCCCCTTTCCCTATCCCCCCTTTTGTTTGGCCCGATCTAGGATGACCCCGATGGGGCTTGAGCTACTTTAAGAATCGGCACGGCAAAGGGCCCAACCCAGTGCAGCTCTGCGTAGCAAAGGTCGCAATCCCCTCCTCAAAAGCTGTGCTCCACGGGCGGAATGCTCGGGGCAGTGCGGATAGGGGGGGCCGCGGGGCAGGCACACCGAAACGCGCTGAGCTTCATCTGTGGCACGGTAAACTCAACGACGTGCCGAAAACGGCTACCGCAAAATCGTGTCGTGTCGACTCCGGCCTTGGTTCCTGACACCGCGGAGGTCGTTCAACCTTGAACGACGGGCCGGTGCCGCAAGGTCCAATCGTTCAACATCGACCGATTCTGGGTCGCAGGCGGCGTTCAATGTGGTTCGCCGGCGGCGGGGTCGCCGCCAGTCGACACAGCGCGAACCTACCGCAGGGACCGCACGCGCAGATCCGCAGCATGGGCGGCACGTAGAGCCCCCGCGCTATGTGACACGATCTGCGACGGGGTGTGCCGAGTTGGCCGGGGTCCTCGCGAGCGCAGCGGTTCGTGTGCAATGTGTGTGTGTGTGTGTGTGTGTGAGCTCTGTGTGTACGTGGACGTCCAAATTGCAGCTGGGATCGCGTGAGCACGCTCGCACGGGGGTGATGGGTGGAGCTCCCTGCGGAGCAAGATCCCCGAGGGGGGTGCGCCGAACTCAGCGGGAGGGTGCTGTGCGCACCCGCCCCCCCCCCCTCCGCCTGGTGATGGAACTGCCCACGGGGCACGACACAAGTGATTCGACCCACCTGACTTTCTTTGGTGCCAGTGCCTCCCCCCCTTCTCCAGCCCCAGCCGCCGACCTGTGTCAGCGCGTGCTGATCCTGCTCTGGGGCACGTGCACGTGGCCCCCGCCAGTCCCTGCTGCTTAGTCCTGTATCTGGCCAGCCCGTTTCGGCGTCGAGCCGTCTGGCCCTTTTCGGCGCCAACGCCTGCCTCACCGGCCAGGAATACTGCTCACCCGCCCTCTTTGAGGCACATTCTCCTCAGCAGCCCTTGCCCCAAGTACTCCCAGCTGCGTACATTGGGGGCCGATCCACAAGAAGCCCACCGCAAGAAACCCGACCCTGAGATCCGCCGAGGCTTCTTGGTCCAGAGTTGGGCTTCTTGCACTTCGTCTGCAAATGAAGACCTGGGGAACCCTGACGACAAGAAACCCAGGTAACCCTGACGCAACGCAGGGTGCCTCTTGTCATGGGCCTCCACTGCAGCCCTCTTAGCCCTCTGATCGTCTTCGCTCGCCCCCCCTCGGCGTCGAGCCCTCCTTGGCGCCAATGTCTGATCCCGCCACCAGGCCCCACTGCGCGTCTGACAAGCCCCACTGGACCGCGCTGGCGCCGACGCCTGCTCTCGTCCGCAGCCCTTTTGATGGGCCCTGCTCCGTGGCCCTCTGACTGGACCTGTCAGCTCTATAGTCAACCCGTATCAGAAGGATGCGCGGTAAGGATGTAAGGGCCTTGGCCACGGTAACGTTTCTCGAAAGAGTTTGGCCAGCGAGAGTCGCTAAGGATAGGCCGAAGGGGCAAGAATGCAAGGGTATCCTTGGGAAGGTTGCCCATCCTTACTATGCGGTTCGGCTGTAGCGCTATTCGGCGTCCACTTGCAAGCCCCCTCCCACCTTGACCTGACCAGTCCACCGTGCAAATAGAGCTTAACAACTATATAAATATGTGGGAGCTCCGCGTGGATCTCTTGGATCGGCGCTGGACCCCCCCTCCCTGGCGCGCGGAGCGCGCCAGGGACAGCGCCGGAGGCGCCACCAAGGGGGTTCAGCGCAGATCCAAGAGATCCGCGCGGAGCTCCGAAAGTTTATGTATATGCCATTTCTCTGATTTGACACATGCGATGTCCCACGCCTTAATCTGACCAGTCCGACGTTCAACCTGACCAAGGGCCCGTCGATACGGCACCAGATGTACACGACACGCGTCACGCGCGAGCTCGGGTTTGCATCAAAACACGAGGATGGAAAGACACATCAGAATACAAGTCAAACGTGTCCACAGCGTCAATGCTCCCGTGCCACGCTCATTGATACCACCATTCCCAATGTGGGATGTGGTCGCCGCTGAGGAGAGACTGCGATTCCCGATCGGGGACTCGGTCGGGGGGACGAGCGAGGCAGCGCAAGATGAGCAAGGGAGGTGATGGATGAGGAGATTCGAGATGAGAGACGTGAGGGGGAGGGGTGGCACAAGAAGGCATGAACACAATATGGCTGGCGCCCAGGCGACAGCAACACTCTGACCGCATGAGAAATTATAGTCGGCTCCAGGCGAGAGCAGCAGTACGGCTGAGACATTCGGCAGGCGCCATTGGGGCAGCAGAGTTCCCCAATCACAGATACAGCTGGCGCTGGCGCGAAATCATAATTCCGAGTCAGGAAAGGGGCCAATACTGAGGCGAAAAAGCCATTCCCGCTCAGGGACGCGTCCGGCGCTCAGGCGAAAACACCATTTTCCATCCAGGATGATGCTGGCGCTTAGGCGAGAGCACTCTTCCCATCGAAGGAAGTGGCTGGAGCTCAGGCGGGAGCCTCATCCGCAATCTCAAGGAGGTGGCCGGCGCTCGGGCGAGAGCACCATGCCACCAACGCTGAGCTGGCCATCGCTCGGACGTCCATTGCCTGTGCTTTTTTCGGCTTCGTGCGTGGTTTTTTTCCCCGAATGATCAAGGATGCTCCTCGATGGTCCTCGCCGAAGGAAAAAGTGCACACGTCCGAGCGATGCCGAGTGAGGCGAGAATACCATTCGGGGTCTGCACGGTGGCCCGAATGCAGGTGTCAAACTCTTCTCGAGTCGGCCGTGCCGGCCTCCCCAAGTCGACCGCGTGCGCGCCCTGCAGAGGGCGGAGACAACTGCGGCGAACGACGCGTCGCGACGGCGAGCCTCGAGGAATACAGTCGAGGCGTTGACCCAAGGAACCCTAAGTAAGGAACGAGGCCCCTATTTTCCATAAGTCGATTTTCGATCGAAAACATCAGGAAAACCTGAGGCACGCTGTGAACCACTTAAGGAACACGGAGCCCCTCCCCAACGAAAAGGGTTCCTTCTTCAGGGCCCCGACTGCACGCCGGAAGGCGTGGGTCGCGCGAGCACGTGGTCTTTTGGTGCGTTCCCCCCCCCTGGACGCGATCCATCCCCGCGCAGACGGCGCCCGAACGCAGCGGCGAGCACGCCAAGGGAGCATGCGCGGCACCCGCCGTGGGCGGGCGCGCGAGGCCGTGCTCGAGGCCGTGGCCCGTGCGGGCTGCTGCAATGTTGTGCCCCTGCGCGGTGGCACCCCCAAATGCCGGGTGTTGCCCGCAGGTGTCCCCGGCCCAAGGGTTCCTGGGGAGCCCACAGAGGACGTACGCGCCCAGCTATGCACATGAACACGGCCCCTCGATCTGCGAGACTGGCCGCGGTATACGAACATTTGCTCAACGCGTGCTCTCGAAACCAGCGTGGATTCATGTACGTGTACGTCCTTCTTTCGCTCCTGAGGTTCGGCGGCGAGCGAGGGGGAAAAGTGAGAAGGGGCGGGCCTTCTCAGTCGGGGATCTTCTGACACGGGTCAATCCAGACCCGGGTCGGTCAAGCCATGTAGAATCCTGCAAGATCCTGCAAGATCCCGCACCCAAACCTGGGTCAATGCGAAGATCCTGCAAGATCCTGCAGGATCCTGCACCCAAACCGGGGTCAATGCGACCCTGGCCCTGCAAGATCCTGCAAGATCGGGTGCTCTGGCTGATCCCCGTCTGAATTGACCCCCGTGCTCCCGACTCAGAAGTCTCGGAAGTCCGCCGGCCTTCGAAGAAGTTGTCAAAGCCTTTCCCGAAGACAGACAAAAAACTTGTCAGAAGGCGCGAGGGCCGCCTTCTGAGAAGGCCTTCGACTTCTCATTCCCCCCCCCCGCTCGCCGCCGAAAGGCGTTCGGGGAGGCGCAGACATGGCCTCCAGAGCACCCCTCACGAGGCCCAGATGGCCCCCAGGGGTTCCAACATGGGGCGGGAAGCGAGGGACAACTTGGGAGAGGGACACCTGTCTGCAACCCCCGAAAATGGCATCTCCCCAATGCCCATCCCCACTGATGGAGGACGCTCACACGTAAAACGCGTCATGCCACGCATAGCCTTCTGCACGAGCGGTCGGCCACGCACTGGACTTGTAGCGCCCAAGCGCCACGAAAGGCAACAGCACACGAATTGGACAGTGGACGCGCTGGGGTTGAGGACGACATGTTCTTTCCCCCTACTCTTCCACATCCTACATGCAAGCGGGCATCAATGCACATAATCATCTCAGAAGTCCACGTCCAGCGCAAAACCTTTGGCTTCCTCCCCCGAGGCGTTCGTCGAGGACATTACTCCAGCTTTCTGGTAGTCGCCGACGCGCTTCTCGAAGAAGTTGGTCTTGCCCTGTAGCGAGATCAGCTCCATCCAGTCGAACGGATTGGACGCCCCGAACAGCTTGGAATGGCCCAGCGCGGTGAGCAAGCGGTCCGCAACGAACTCGATGTACCTGGAGTAGCACAACAAAGGCACGAACCTAACTAGACCCATCGGGCGCGCTTCGTGGATCGGCCATGGATATTACCACCGCCCTCATCCGGTAAGGAATGCTCCAGGGTATGAAGGCTCCTGGGCACACTCCGTGACTTGGCTTGGAAGCCCACGCGTTCACGCGTTGGTGTCTAAAAACGCACTGGGGCTTTGTGTTCGCGGCAGTCCTGAGACATCCGTTGGCGATCTTGCAACTCTCTTCGGGGTCATTTGAGCATCCGCGGCCATCTCGGAGACACACGTTCGCAACACATGGGAATTCAAACGAAGACAATAACTTTAACAAACGTTGGGATTTCCTTTCGGTGTTGATGGACTTGCTCCTCTTGGAAGCCCTGTGTGGGCACTCTGAATGCATCTTGAGGCTTCATTGTGCTGCTGGGCACTTCCTGGGAGGAGGAGGAGGAAGGGGAGGAGGAGGGAGTGGGGAGGAGGAGGACGAAGGAGCTGGAAAGAGGGAGGAGGAGGAGGAGGAGGAGAAATGAGAAAGGAGGAAAGAGGGAGGGGTAGTGAGAAGGGGGCAGAGAGATGGAGGGTGGAGGGAGGAGAAGGCAGGAGGACATCAAGGAGAAGAAGAGAGTGAGAGAGGATGAAGGCAGGTGGGGAAAGGGAGGAGGAAACAGGGGAGAAGAGGAAAAGGTGCGGGAGGGAGAGGGGTCTCGGAGAGGGGGAGGAGAAAGACGAGGAGGAGGAGGAGGAGAAAGAAAATGAGGAAAGAGGGGGAGAGTGTTTGTATACGTAGTGTTGGTATACCTTCTGGAATGGAGGTGTCTTCGATTTGAGGCGCGCAGTATTCTGTAGACTCTACGGGGCCGCTCAGGGGACTCATGAGGGCCAATTGCGCGTCTATTTGGGGCCTCTGGGGGGCTTCTTGGAAGCTTCTTCGGGGACGCTGGTGGCCTCTTGAGGCTCGCAGGGATGCTCCAGGGGCCACCTTGGCGCCGAGGGCGATCGGAGTGGGGCTTGGGGGGTTTCTTGTGGGCCTCTTGGGGCCCTCTTGAGGCGATGTTGGGCAGTCCTGGAAGCCTCTTGGGATTCTCGGGGCCCCCTTGGGAGCCTCTTCGGCGGCCTTGGGGCGCTCTGAGGCGCCTCTTGGAACCGCCAGGGACGCGGGTGGACCAAACATCCAAATGTAATATGCCAAATCGACAACAATAATAATGTTCTGCCGCTCGGGGCCCTCGAGGGGGTTTTCTTGGAGACCGTCGGCTCGAGGAGCAGCAGGAGGAGGCAAACTGAGCATCGTTGAACCGATCCCTATCCCCACGGGTGCCCCTTCCACTTGGCGGCGCGCACAAGGGGGTAGGGGGAGGGGGGAAGGCTTCCTAGAAGCACCCGGCTTCTTAGAAGGCCTCGGCCTTGCGTCTATAGAGAAGGCCCGCGCCTTCTAAGAAGCAGGGGTGCTTCTAAGAAGCCTTCCCCCCCTCCTCCCTACCCCCCTCTGCGCGTTGCCGAGCCTCAGTCCTCCACCACATTCGCGACTACCGAAATGCATACTGCCAGTGCAGCGGCTAGGATCGAACCTGCGGCCAGGAGCGACCCTCGCGGCACTCCGCACCACCAGGCGTTGCTCATCCGAGCCCGCGGGGCGGGAGGCTCGAATTGTCGGCTCGTGTTCCCCCTCTTGAGCTATGTTGTTCCCATCCCACTTAAGGACCGCATCCCAGACATCCGCCGATCCGGCGTGTGAGTTTCTCAGAGCGTGGACTTGAGCTCGCTCAAGCTTCGCTCCGCAGGGGGGGGGTACGTTATTTCCGACGTCATTTCCGACGTGTTTCGGTACACAGGGATATTTCCGACGTCATTTCCGACGTTTTTCGGTACCCGGGGACAGGAGGGTATAGAAAACTCCACTTCCGGAGCCCCCCCGGATCGGCGGCAATGGCCGGAGGCCAGCCTAATAAATTCGAGCACCCGGAAAAGTGTCAAAAGAGTGTCGAAGCAGTGTCGAAACAGTGTCGGGCGAGTGCCTCCCAGGGCCCTGGAGGTGAAAAAACCCTTGAATTTCGGCACGTTTCTGGGCGCTCGGAATTCTTCCTGTTGATCAAGGCTAGTAGGTTGGAACATCATTACTCTCCGGACCCTCTTGGGTTATGCCGGGCCGGTCCCCCTACAGGGGGATGTTCGACGAATTACCCTGGCGACGTACCCAACCCCTGCGCAATGCGGGGCATGAGTAGCTTGGGAGACGTTATACGGAGATGATGACGTGACATGGGCGCATATACTTCTGCGAGCGACATTCGCGAGGCTCGCAGCCCACCAAGGATTGCGATGTCCCGCTCAGATCTGCCTGGTACCTCGCTCCGCTGGACCCACCAGCAGCCCTCGAAAGTGACGACAGTTTCACAGATCGCAGCCCCCCAGGGACGGCAAGGTCTCGCTCAGATCTGCGCGGTGTCTCATTCCGCAGGACCCACCAGCAGCCCTCGAAAAAGGCGACAGTTTCGCAAATCACAGCCCCCCTGGGACGGCGAGGTCCCGCTCAGATCCGCGCGGTGCCTCACTCCGCAGGACCCACCAGCAGCCCTCGAAAGTGGCAGCAGTTTTCGCAGACCGCAGCCCCCCAGGCACGGCAAGGTCCCGCTAAGATCTGCGCGGTGCCTCACTCCGCAGGACCCACCAGCAGCCCTCGAACATGGCGACAGTTTCGCAGACCGCAGCCCCCACCAGCAGCCCTCGGAAGTGGCGACAGTTTCGGAGACCGCAGCCCCCCAGGGACGGCGAGGTCTCGCTCAGAACTGCGCAGTGCCTCACTCCGCAGGACCCACCATCAGCCCTCGGAAGTGGCGGCAGTTTCGCAGATCGCAGCCCCCCAGGGACGGCGAGGTCTCGCTCAGATCCGCGCGGTGCCTCACTCCGCAGGACCCACCGGCAGCCCTCGAGAGTGGCGACAGTTTCGCAGACCGCAGCCCCCCAGGGACGGCGAGGTCTCGCTCAGATCCGCGCGGTGCCTCACTCCGCAGGACCCACCAGCAGCCCTCGAGAGTGGCGACAGTTTCGCAGACCGCAGCCCCCCAGGGACGGCGAGGTCTCGCTCAGATCTGCGCGGGGCCTCACTCCGCAGGACCCAGCAGCAGCCCTCGGAAGTGGCGACAATTTCGCAGACCGCAGCCCCCCAGGGACGGCGAGGTCTCGCTCAGATCCGCGCGGTGCCTCACTCCGCAGGACCCACCAGCAGCCCTCGAGAGTGGCGACAGTTTCGCAGACCGCAGCCCCCCAGGGACGGCGAGGTCTCGCTCAGATCTGCGCGGGGCCTCACTCGCAGACCGCAGCCCCCCAGGGACGAGGTCTCGCTCAGAGGTCTCGCTCGAGAGTGGCGACAGTTTGCAGGGACGGCGAGGTCTCGCTCACTCGGGGCCTCACTCCGGACCCAGCAGCAGCCCTCGGAAGTGGCGACAATTTCGCAGACCGCAGCCCCCCAGGGACGGCGAGGTCTCGCTCAGATCCGCGCGGTGCCTCACTCCGCAGGACCCACCAGCAGCCCTCGAGAGTGGCGACAGTTTCGCAGACCGCAGCCCCCCAGGGACGGCGAGGTCTCGCTCAGATCTGCGCGGGGCCTCACTCCGCAGGACCCACCAGCAGCCCTCGAACATGGCGACAGTTTCGCAGACCGCAGCCCCCACCAGCAGTCCTCGAAAGTGGCGACAGTTTCGGAGACCGCAGCCCCCCAAGGACGGCGAGGTCTCTGGACCCACCATCAGCCCTCGAAAGTGGCGGCAGTTTCGCAGATCGCAGCCCCCCAGGGACGGCGAGGTCTCGCTCAGATCCGCGCGGTGCCTCACTCCGCAGGACCCACCAGCAGCCCTCGAGAGTGGCGACAGTTTCGCAGACCGCAGCCCCCCAGGGACGGCGAGGTCTCGCTCAGATCTGCGCGGGGCCTCACTCCGCAGGACCCAGCAGCAGCCCTCGGAAGTGGCGACAATTTCGCAGACCGCAGCCCCCCAGGGACGGCGAGGTCTCGCTCAGATCCGCGCGGTGCCTCACTCCGCAGGACCCACCAGCAGCCCTCGAGAGTGGCGACAGTTTCGCAGACCGCAGCCCCCCAGGGACGGCGAGGTCTCGCTCAGATCTGCACGGGGCCTCACTCCGCAGGACCCAGCAGCAGCCCTCGGAAGTGGCGACAAGTTTCGCAGACCGCAGCCCCCCAGGGACGGCGAGGTCTCGCTCAGTCCGCGCGGTGCCTCACTCCGCAGGACCCACCAGCAGCCCTCGAAAGTGGCGACAGTTTTCGCAGATCGCAGCCCCCCAGGGACAGCGAGGTCTCGCTCAGATCTGCGCGGCGCCTCACTCCGCAGGACCCACCAGCAGACCTCGAAAGTGGCGACGGTTTCGCAAATCACAGCCCCCCAGGGACGGCGAGGTCTCCCTCAGATCCGCGCGGTGCCTCACTCCGCAGGACCAACCAGCAGCCCTCGAAAGCCGCGACAGTTTCGCAGATCGCAGCCCCCAGGGACGGCGAGGTCTCGCTCAGATCCACGCGGTGCCTCACTCCGCAAGACCCACCAGCAGCCCTCGACTGCAAGACCCACCAGCCACCAGCGGCCCACCGCAACCCCCCAGGGACGGCGAGGTCCCGCTCCCGCGCGGTGCCTGACTCCGCAGGACCCACCAGCAGCCCTCGAAAGTGGCGACAGTTTCGCAGACCGCAGCCCCCCAGGGACGGGGAGGTCCCGCTCAGATCTGCGCGGTGCCTCAATCCGCAGGACCCACCAGCAACCCTCGAAAGTGGCGACAGTTCTGCAGACCGCAGCCCCCCAGGGACGGCGAGGTCCCGCTCAGATCTGCGCGGCGCCTCACTCCACAGGACCCACCAGCAGCACTCGAGAAAGCGACAGCTTCGCAGACGGCGAGGTCAGATCTGCGCGGTGCCTCACTCCGCAGGACTCAGCAGCAACCGTTGAAAAAGGCGACAGTTTCGCAGATCACAGCCCCCCAAGGACGGCGAGGTCTCGTTCA